GTAGCCCAAAATGGACAAACCAAAAACTGGCTCTTGATAGGGCCTTTCTGGTTTTTCATGAGTTTGACGGCCACCATAGTTTTACTCACATCCTTGGAAGGTTTTCAGTTGGTTGCAATCTGCAACTTCAACACTAGATGTCACAGAAACAATCAATCGCCTAATCAATCAATTGACCAAATGTCTAAGCACCACACCACAACATATGTTGTCTATTGGTACGTGAAGTCATTTCTATGTCTGAGAATGACTTCTGAGAATCTCCATAGATGAATGTAATGTAATGTGGCTTGATAGAGGTGAAAAAATGGTTTACAGTGGTTATTAACCCTTAGTAACATTTGAATGTACAAACACAGCAGATTGCTGTTAACCAGTCTAATGTCTACTGGCCTCACAGTGTTATTAGTGTGTGCATTAGCTGTAGAGACGTGTTAAAATGGGTGGATGCACATAGCTCTGATGTTAACTGTAAAAGATCTAATGCTTTTGTTTTGTGTTCAGTGTCTTCCGTTTTTGCTGACTGATTCAATTTGCCATAAATCCTGAGCTTTGCAAAGAATCATTTTACTGTACAGTCATATTTATATCAGGCACTACAGCACTAACAGAGAGGACCATTTATTCTGCAGTGCTGATGATACGACTCTGCTGTTTTGTCTGTCTCACTATAGTATTTCTGTTCTCCTTTTTATTTACTCTCCTTATAGTACGTAGACATTTTTTATTTTATGTGTGCTGCTGTTCTGTCTACCTACACCATGCAATAGGAATTTATCATATTAATGACTTTGAGGAGTATCCAAGAAAAGAGATTTGTAGCTCAATACCTGAAAGAGAGGTTAAAGATTTGAGGTTTGTTTATTCTTTGAATGCAGACACATACTTTACAGTAGTGGAACAACAATTTAATGCAATTTTAAAACTATAATTCTTGTTATATATATGGTATCATGATTATAATATTAATATTTACATTTCAAGCCAACTTTTATCATTCGTTCACGTGCGATGTTAAAATGTAGCCAGTAACACTTTATTCACTTTTATCTGTGATATATCAGGAGCATCATCTAGTTATACTTTTAATTTTTAGAATTTAAGTTAACTTAAGGTATTTTACCCCAACACATTTTGCAATGGTCCAGTTTTTGAGACGTTAGTTAGAGCTCACATGAGGGACTAGATGCAACATATTTTAGTATTCCAACATAAAAAACTTAAATAGAGTATATGCACCATTTTCACTGATTCCAACCCTCATCCCCGCTCACACCACATCAGCTCATGGTTCAGATTTTCTTTGTTACCCTTTAATTCCTATTTTGGTAGAGAAATGAATGATATATTTGTTTAATGAATCCGTGCAAATACTTTTACCTCTGTTTGTTTCCTGTATCTGATGGGATTCAGCAGCACCCATGTTGGTGCGTGATACAGCACGTCCTGCCAGTATCAAAATTCAATACCAGTTAAAGCATTTAACCTGCCAGCAACTTTTCTAACTAGGTGGGAGAAGTAGACGAACTCAAGTGCAAACAAAAACACATCACTGATCAACTAAAAGAAATAACTCAAACTCTAAAGGCAAGCACAACCAGATTATCCTGACATATCACACATTTGGGAATATTTCAAATTAAGGGGAAAACTGGCTTGATTTGCAAGAAGATTGCACATAAATGTATGATTAAAGTTTAATAGTAGTGACAGTGGTGAATTACAGACATGTCCCAGACTGTGACTGTCAGTTTTGCAGGAATTTCGAAAGAAAACCAAAGTGTTGGGCAAGCTGTAAGTTTGACTTGATGACGGTGCTAGACTAGAGGAAATGTCCTCCTCTGATCAGGACTGTGTCTGTCTCGTTTCTGCAGCCTTCTCTCCCGGCAGCATCCCCACTGGTCACGACTCCACCATGACCTGCAGGTCCATCAGCTCCCTGGTTAACTCTGATGTCCACGTGGAATGTGAGGCCAGCAGCGAGACGCCAAACTTCACCGTCAACTCCATCATGGATGGCGATGTCACCAAATAAAAAAAGCTAAGGATACACGACAAACGACAAAGGCATTATGAGATGAGTTGAGCAAAAAACTTGATGTTCTTGCAAAACACTTTCACCGTTCACTGTTGCTGTAAGTTTCTCTGTTTCTGTCCAGGTGACACAATAACGTATAGTCCATACTGTAGTTGAGAATACAGGTTGTTTTTGTATTTGTAGTTCATTTCTGGCCTCAAAGGTGTTGAATCTTCTGTTGAAGGCAGTTCACCAGCATAGAAAGTGCTTGGAAAGTTACAAAAAAATTCACAAATACCAACAGATATTTGAGTAGCACTCCTCAGAATTAGGCCATTTGGATAGATTCTTTGTAAAGACAATGTTACAGATGACTAAACATACAACAATTACGTCTCTCGATTATCAGGAATCTACTCAAACTAGACTATGACTTGTACACTTGTTTTTCCTCCCCGGAGTGCAACCGTTAAAGTAAATTGTTTTTATTATCCAAAAGATAAAGTGACGCAACATACAGAATAATGATACCGAAATCCTTTCCAGCTTACAGTAAGTTTGACTAGTGCAGTTTTCGCACAGTATCAGTCATGAAGTGTTTCTGTTAAAAGTGAATGAGCGGCAATTATTTGGATATTAGTGCACCATCTTTTGACAATCACAATACAGTCTTATATATTAGATATAAGATATATTGAACGAAGAAATTGGAATCACTGTCACTGTGCATCACAAGCACTTATTTAGAAAATGTTTTTAGAAAAGCTATTCTCAAATACACTCATGTACATGCACTGGTTTCTCGTGTTTTCTCCCTAATCAGTAAATTGACATGCAATACTTGTGTAGTATTTGTATTAGTTTGTATTATTAGTTTGTCAACTTGTAAAATATGTTTTTGGACCAGTGAATTAATAGACAACCCAACCCTAGAGGAGTCCAACCTAACCTAGCAAACACTGGTTTAGGGATTTGCAAGTCAAAAGATGTCTAGATAAAAAGGTTGAATTGGACACATTTAGTTCAAAGGTATGTTTTATTTTTTGTCTTTTCTTTTGATGTTAGAGTATCTTAACACAGGCTGAAAATCAGTATTTTATTAACCTCTACCATACTTCAGCAACGTGAGAAGTTAGCAAGTTAGTCATTTATCTTCAGCAGGGTCGTTAAGTTACATATAATTTCAATACAGTGTGTGTAGTTAGGACGTGCTTCTCTTTGAAAGATTGTTATTAAGATGCTGTTTAAACAACGGTTAGGAGTAACCTAGATTTTATAAAACTGACGCCCAACCAATACCAGATATATCAGTATTTCAGAGTGTAAAACTCTGATACATAATGATACATTGGACATTATTATTTTCATTAAGATTACTTAAAGTCGTTTTTAAAGAACTGTGACCAAGATATTTACTGAGTCTGATATTTTATTTTATTTCTATTTTATTAGACATTACATAAATCTCATGGTGGCCCTTTTTCTAAATGACCTCAAACATCTCTTTGGCATTCCTGTACAGCAGTTTCTTGTTAGTCATCGGCTGACATATACACCAATATGAAATTTTAAACCAAATTTTACCCAGATTTATGCCTAGACGTCTTTTGACCTGCAGCACTGGAATACAGTATTTACCCCAAAGTAAAATCTGATAATTTTGGAAAAGTCAAATGATTTTAAAGATGGTAAAAAAAAGTGTATGCATTTCTTTATTCCTGGTATAAATGAATGAGTCACTGAATTAAAGTTGAGAGTAGAGAACAACGTCAAGACTGGAGGGTTAGCAGGGAGAAAAAGGCAAACAGGCAGGTTAGACATGAATCATGTTTCCCTCCATGTTGGCGTGTGATGAGCACCAACTGCTTATTTATGGCACCGATCCAGCTGCATCGTTTATACCAGAGAATTTGCATGTCTATTGTATATTTAACCCCTTCAGGCCAGGCGGTTTGCTGTGCACACAGGTTACTGTTTGGAACTGTTTACACCCTTTGGTACAGCCTTGTAGATACAGCAGAGGCAGGGGTTCTGAAATTGTTGCAGTAATGTGTAGAAACAATGAGATGAGATGAGATTACTTGATCAGCAGCTATTTGGATTATTAGTTAATAAGTTTAGGCATTTTTTCAAGCAAAAATGCTAAACATGTTCAGTTTTCAGCTTCTCAAATGTTAGGCATTGTTGCTTTTTTTGAATATCTTTGGGTTTTGGACTGTTGGGATCTTGCCATTTTTATTGTTTTCTGATGTTTTTTGTAGACCCAATAACTAATCCATTAATCATCAGATTAATCGATAATAAAAATAATTGTTAGCTGCAGCCCAGTTGTATTTTTTAACAGATAAAATTCGTTCATTGTTTTTGTTGTGCAAGTGCCCCAAACAAACTCTTTTTCTATTTCATGAACTAATGAAAGTAATCCTGTGTTACCCACTTTTGAGTTGTGTTGTTGTTGTGTTAATTAAAAAAAAACAACTCAGATGAGATTTTGCCAACTTTTCTACCTTTGTGAAGCTGACTCATACACTACTGTACTGTATATTGTTTATGTGTTTTGTGTTTTATGGGGATTCATTTCCAACTGCATGCTTTGAAAGTGTTTATTTGTGTTTGTGTTTGAATAAGACAGCAACAAAAGTAATTTGGAGTCTTGGAGTTTATGTCGCTACAAGTTTTAGGGAAATAAAAACGCTCTAAGTGATGGAGTGTAAATGTGATGGTGTCCTGGAAACAACAATATAAAACAGACAAAGAAAATTACTTGTATTTTCTTTCTGCTGCGCTGTGGGAACATTCATTGGATTCTGCCCCATCTGTTGTAATCAATAACGTGACCATCTTGTTTTTTTATGAAACGCACTTACTCTTAATTTCATCCACCAGTGGTTTTAGAGAGAAGAATGTGGAGTTACCTATAAGACTTTGACATTATAAATCACCTCTTGAGACCAGATTGTACAGCAGTATCGATTGATCCTGATATATCACAGAAATTTACTGTCACTTCTGTTTTCAATTAAAGATACAATCAGTCAGATAATGACTTAATTGGATTTTACAGAAGATTGAGTTTTATTGCCCTGTGCTTTACGAGTTTAGTTAAGGAAGGCCATTTTATCATGGTTGTCAGGGGCGACCGGCTGCCGCTGCCTTGTCCTTCTGTAGCTGCTGCTGCCCTGTGTACAGCGCAGGGGAGAAAGTGTCACAGGATTGGTTTTCCTTGAGCTGCCTCTGCCTCCATGAATCATGCCCTCCCATAATAGATAAAATCTGCTCGGATCCCACCGTGACACCTCCCGGTGGAGTGATGGCCGCTCGATACAGACAGGAAGTGTGGAAGAGGACGCTGTAAGCTCAGAAGTGGAGAGGGAAACTTTAAACAATTTATACCTGAGGGTGTCACGTAATAAGTTAATTGGAATGGATCAGTGCATTACAGACCTTTTTCCCAGCAGCCATTTTGACATGAAATAGTAGGGTATACAAAGGTGTTAGCAGTGATACTAATTCAGGTTCCGCTCCATTTAGTGTAGCAGAGCCTTTCCAGTGAGACAGCATGCACAATAGCAGCACCCTGACTGTCTTAATTAGTATCAGTATTTCAATTGGCTGCTGTTAAAAAGGTCCATTACAGAGTGAAGTGTATTCTTTAAATTGGAATTTCAGCTCTACAAACATTTCTCAGAGGCACACCTGATCAGGAGACCTCGATGCACAGAGCCAAGGAACCACAGTTTTTAGGAGGGAAGTGATCTTAAATGGAGAAGAAAGTGCCAACCCTGCGCAGTAGATTAGATACATTCATAATGAGCTTGTCATCCATATTGGAAAGCTCTGTATGCCTGTATATAGGGCTAAATAATTTCAATAAGACAAAAATGTGTGTGGAATTTGTACTTTACAAACACCATTTGCAGCTCAAACAGTCTAGATTAAACATGTCTTACTTTTAGTGTTTTGGTATTTGGTATTTTTGTGAACGTCTGTAACAACATGAACCTTCAGTCAAGGTTTATTAGGTCTTGTTTGAACTTGAAAGTTGGACTATCCACTTGGATAGTTAGAAAACACTACTCCAAACTATATACTAATGCGATTAAGTATATTTGACAGTATCTACTAGTGTTGACAGAAACCTGGCAGTGAGGCTAGGGTCGGTGTGAAGGCTATTAACATGTTTTTCTACTGATTTATTACTTTATTTTACGTATTTGTTTCAAATGTTTGCAAGAAATCCAATCCTGATGGACTTCTGTTCTTAAGGGATGAGTCATTTATTGGAGTATCAAATTAACACTTAACTGCTTTAAATTTGGCTATACATTCTTTTTTTATTCTTAGTTTTTTTTTTTTTTTGCACCTTAATCCCTTTTAAAGTACTGCAAAAACTGCATGACATCATATATTCTGCATCTGTTGTTAATCACTGATTGACATATTCAAGACCTAAGCCCCAAAACAAAATGCACACATTTCCCTCAACATTTATTCTGGCATATTCAGGATCTTTGGTGACTGAACTAGGAGAGTTATGTGGGTTGAAACAAGCTTAATGTTTATGCAAAATAGTTGGTGTCAATGTGTCCAAGTCATGGTTTACTGGTGGATTTTGGCAGGTTATAAGAAGTTAAATAACCTGATACGTACAGTTTTTTTTTATAAAATCAAGTAGAACTTGGATTTCTACCATTTTGAGTGGTCAGCACAGGTGATTAATGATAGTCAACACCTGTGTCCAAAACTATCTAAACACCCTCACTGAACCAGGTGTCCACCATGCTCTCCTTAGGAGGTAATAAAAGGAGGTGACTCTGACTCGTGCCTCCATTTGGCATGTTGGAGTTAATGTGGAATGATTCCTGGCAGTTCAAGACTGTCAAGTTAAATCATTTGTAAAATCTGGAGCAGCTTTTCACAAAATGAAATCAGAAAAAAACCTTCACCAACTGTTCATCCATTAATAATAGAATAAAGTTCAAACAAAAACTCATGGACACAGCAGGCCTGTTGGAGCTATCTAACTAAAAGTGTAGACCAACATTTTCACAGTGCTCAAACATTTCTGCATTTAAATCTGTAGACTCATTTTCTCAGCTGCTGCAGGTCCTCGTTCTTCATCACCTTTGTGCCACAGTTAAACATTGTACATAGTATCAGCTTGATTGTTAAGATCCTGTCCAGACATATATTAAGAAATACACACAAATAGTCTGCTTGGAACAGTAAAGTATGCCAAAGCATGTACTCCTTCTACCTCGTTTCAAAACCCCAGAATCTTTGAATATGTGAGTTTAGCTAATTTCTCAAGTTTTCCTGCTGGACACAAGATGTCTCCTACCTCACTGTAAAGCCCACTCTCAGTGGATGTGCACTGGTGGCTTTAACTTTCTACATCACACTTGTATAAATTGCATCTGGACCAGCGTTAAACCCTTAAAATCAGGTTTTCATTGAGCACAGAGACAGTTTCCACTTTAAGCAGACGAATGTGAAAACATCTTTCTAGCGTTAAATTCTGCACACACATTCTGCGCAGTGAAGCTCAAACATCAAACTGTAGGAACACGAACAGATTTTTGAGTGGAGGGCGACTTCCAAGGTTTCAAGGTTTAACAGAAACCCTCGGACCTCATGACCAAAATGATGTCTTTAATTAGGTGCTGCTTGCTTTAAGGTAAACAGGTAAGGTAAAAGAGCTCTATATGTGATATCAGATCTTTTTGTTGATTATATTCTAATCCACTGAATGACACGTGACAGAGCAAATATCCAGTGCAACCTACAAAAGCAAATAGCCTCCAGGTGCTGTGAGGTGTAAAGCGAATTTAAGAGGGAACTGACTATCAACTGTCTCACCATAAAGAGCAGTCAGACATCTCAGGACCACACACATTAATGTATTCACTTAATCACCTGGTGGGGCATTTTAATCTGAAAAAAGAATAAAAGTACACACACCTTCATCCTGTGCAGTTTAATTTGAATGCTGATACAGTTTCAGCTATGAGATGTAATTAATCACTGGCAATAATCTGAACCACCAAGTGTGTGTTCCACTACTTGGTGGGGAGCATCTGATTAATTATGTAAGAGAATCACATTATGCATACATTAAGATAACTGCAGTGAAACATGAACGTAAACAAACTCATAACAGCTGCTAGTGATCATGCTTCACCTACACAGGTGTTTTCACGTGTTTTGCCTGTGGGCGTGTACAGACTGAATTTATTTATCATCTTCATCAATCTTCTGTTAGTTTTGTGGCACCATGAGAGGGACAATATACATATTTTATTTATTTATTCATTTGGTCACATGAGAAAACATCAACCTCAACCTGAGCAAAATATCAATGGTGGTAGATGGTGGAAGAAGGCAAATTTGCAGCTTGTACAAGTGTGATGTAGAAACCTGAAGCCACCAGTGTACACACACTGAGAATGGACTTCACAGTGAAGCAGGAGACATCTTGTGTCCAGCAGGAAAACTTCAGAAATTAACATTTGCATATTAATAGATTCTGTATTTTTTAATGAGGCAGAAGGAATAGATGCTTCAAGGATTTTAATGTGGAAAATATAATAATATATAAATATAATTTTTTGTGTCAAAAAACAAACAAAAAACAACATATCAGACACACATTATTGTTCCAAGCAGACTAACTGTATATATATATCTTATATATATACAGTACATGTCTGCAGGAGATCTTTAAATAACAATGAAAGCAAATGGATTATATATTTCAGCAACCCTAGAAAATATTAACTATTCAAGGTCATACAGCAGTTTGACCAATAAATAAACAGAAAACCTTCTTTTTCACATTAAGATGCTAATTTGTACAATGTTGTGGACACTTCTGGCCACATGAAGTGAGGAGTCTAATTTTTGAGAGTGAATTTCAAACCTTCACTTCTCTGATCAATACATACACAATTTGAATGGTGGACTATCTACACAGTGATTATGCAATTTGTAAGTAAAAGATCTGAGTACTTCTTCCACCTCTGTCTTTTGCTCCCCTCATTTCAACCCTGACATTTCTTGTTTAGTTTATTAAAGTGCCATAGGCCTCCTGGGTGGGTGTATACATGAGTAGGTGGATTTCTGAGTAATCAAACATTTTCATCGTCATACTTGCTGTTCTAAGAATTTACAGCATGCACATTTCACTTATGTAGATAGAATAAAACCATCCCTTCAATATTTGAACAAATAAAAATCTGACATCTGTGTATGCACTGTCCCAGGCCAGTGGATGGAGTTGACGGTCTCTCTGTGTTTGCAGACCAGTGGTGGAGGATCACAGTGGTGTTTGAAGGACAGGCAGAGCTCCGGTCATAAACATCCAGCCCTGAGAGCCAAGCACCAATAAACAGGCTGAACTAGACGGACTAAACCAACTTAACAGGCTGCTGTGACGCTGTGCATCTACAACTAATCTGAGGACGTTACCCATCATTTGTCTTTACACCTGATCTGAGAACAGCACAGCAGCCTTAAGAGGACTTCACTCCTCTCCACAAGTGGCTCAGAGGCATAAATCAAGATTTTTTAAAAATCTGATATTCACATATGAGAAATGGATAACGTCAAGTCAGAAATATAAAAGTAGATTTTTCAGTGCACATTTAGTTGCCTCAACTTATTTTAATGTGTTGTCAGTTCCCAAGTAAAACATGTCTGCAGTAGCCTAAAAAGAACAGACTTTCCTTTTTTCCCTAGAGACTGATGGTTGCTCATTGACGTTCGGTGCTTTCTAAAAACGTCTCACTAATTCAGATGTCCGGCTAATTCCTCTGTAGAAGCTCAGTGTCCCGCCTCCCAAGGGAGACTTAAATCAGCGTTTCTGTGACAGGACCTTTGAGTGGCAGCAACGCCCCCAATCAGCACCTAATAATAGCCCCACTCAGCAGAGGTCAGCCACTCCTCCAGCTCTGGAGGGGCCCTGCTGGAGGAGTTTCCTCAGCTAATATGAACATTAGGTCCAAGATGAGTAAGTGATTGAAATGTTAAGTAATTGTACAAACTGATAGTTTGTGTCATTAAAAATTATGACAATCCTTACAATCTGAAAAACAAATCTAGTGAAATCTGGTGTTTTTAGAAGTTTTAACCTGATGACGATGCTACAGAAAAATATTAAGGGATCTGCAGGGGACAGGAATGTCTAAACCAAAGCCTGTGCTAATTTAGCCAATAGTTGTTGAGATATTAAATTAAAAGCCGAACATGTCAAACTTCCAAGTTGTTGTTGTTGTATTTCAGGACTTTCTGGACTAAAGTAGTGGTAGTAAACAGCTAAAAATCCCAATTATAACAATCTGGTACAAATATTGACAGAAAATATTAATAAAAATATAGATAGTCTTTAATCATTATTTTTTCATGTGCTATGTCAGGGTATTCTCTTCAATTTCCATCATACAAAGTAGGCCTTATTGTATTATTACTATACTGTGTGTGTGTGTGTGTGTGTGTATATATATACTGTGTTGGACATATACTGTATATAAGACTATAAACTTCATTATATGTCTATTGTACTTCTTTAATTCAAAACTACTCTTATATAGTTCACGCATCATGACAGCTGGAGTTGCACTTCTTTTGTACAAATATTTGCAGCATTCGCCTCTATAGTCTCAGATTTCTTTAATTTCTTTAATCTCTTATTTAAATTTTGATTTATTTCATTCAAAGAGCTCTTAAACAGCCTGTCTCTGTGCTGCTGGAACATGTGATATCCCCTTGGAGATCATTAAAGTCTTATATTATCTTATGTACAAGAAATCAAATGAAAGTTAATCAGGGCATAAATACAGTTTTGAATTCCTCTTTGTTTCAGGCTTACGTTTCATCTTTTGTCTACATTTGCTTAAATAAGTGACTGTTGACATTAAGAAATACTGTAGTTAGAGTTCTGAGAATCAAACCCACTAATTCAGTATAATTCTGATTAGATCAATAAGTATGAAAATGCATTATTCCCATATTGTGTGTGGATCACATGTTAGTAATATTAAGGTTACCTGTGGTATTTTTTTCTTCTTGTAACCCCTTAATACACAGCCATATTGTTTCATTTTAATCATTTTAGAGGCGTGAAGGGTCAACTGAACTGAAATATTAAATAATAAAATAAAGGAAAAACAGATTTTGAAAACCACTATTTACAATTATGACCCTCTTTTATGGCAGGATGTCCCTAAATGGGAATTTAATCACCAAATCAATGGTAAAGATCAAGTTGTGTATATAGACATCATGTTTAACTCTGCATGTTGAGTCTCTCAATCCCTGAATGAATGAATGAAGCTTAACTAACTGTTGACTGTTCCATCGGTCGGTGTTGGACTCCAGATAATAACCTAGGACACTGATTCTCTACCTGGGTGGTGAGATGCCTAAAGGGGAAGGATTGAAAGATGACTAAAGGTAAGAAACTTGACTTTTTTCTAATGTTTAAATCATGTTAGCAGCATGGTAAGGATGGCAATGTTAATCTGTCGGCCCACCAAAAAAATGTCTCATCTACTGGATTAAATTTTGTGCAGACATTCGTGGTCCTCAGAGGGTGAATCCTGATTACTTTGGCAATCCACTGACTTTTTTTGGTTGGCTTTTGTGCTTTTGAGTGAAATGTCTCCTTATTTTATGGATTGTTCTGAAATGTACAGACATTACCCAGGTGGTTTTCTGTATCCTGAAGCTGTCCTGACAGTGCTGACCTTTGAAGGAACAGAGTCTCATGTGTTGCACCGTTCACTTTTATTTAACTTCTGTCAGAGTAAAAACCGTCCCACACACGAGCAGTGGGTTGCACACAGTTATGAGGCCGGAGATGATGGTAGAGAGATTTTTCCCCTTCTTCAATAACTTTTTGTTGACAGAATCAGGAGGCTACATACGGAGCTAACGGTTAGCTCACTAGCTCAACACTAGTTCCCCATTCAGTGGGCTATTATAGACTTACAGTTGGTCTGTGTAACCCATTAGTACATTTTTATGTTGTTGTTTTTTATCAATGGTATATTTTATTCAGGTATTTATTTTATTTATATAAACCTCTCACCTCTGATTTCCCTTTATGGCCTATACATGATAATTGTATACTGTCCTTCTTACATACTGTATAATAAAGATCATGTATTTGTCATAAATTCCAGTTATTCTGCGTTTTATATTAAAAGCACAAATTATCTCAGCATTAAAATATTTACCCGAGTCTTTCTACATCTTAAACTTGGAGTGCATCAACATGAGAAAAAAAAAAAAGATCAGGCCTTATGCCAATTACAGTGCAGCCTGCAGTATAAACTTTTATTCCGGTTTGTGTTTTACTCTTTATCAACGAACAACATGAATAAATTTATTATGCGTTGTGGTGTAGGCGTTCACCCACCGCCTCCCACTCCCACAAATCTACTCGGCCGGCACAAACTGCAAAGCCACTCTAGTCACCTTGAAATTTCCTCTGCTATTTTCCAATTAAAAGCTTAATAGCCCTGGAGACGGGCTTCATGTGGGGAAGTTTACCGTGCTCTTATTCTCTGTAAGCCGCGCAGGCTCGGATCCCATTATTTGCTTGAATAAACCTTTTTTACGGTCAGAAATGGGCCCCGGCTTTGTCCGGTGTTATGTTTCAATGCCCTCTATTAGTCCAGCAGAAGGGACATATCAGCATCCTCGACATAGTTCCCAAAGGGCTTTTATACATGTAGAGACCTAATCATCTAAGTTATGTACGATTGTGTAAAAGGTGCCAGAAGCTGCAAGCGTTTTGTCCGAATTAGGTCTCATAGGCTGTGAGCCTGCAGTCAACAGGGAGGGGAAAACACACATTTGTCCTGACTTTTAAAATGAAATTATACCTGATCTTTGAATGCGTTGTGCTCATGTTATTTCCACAAAATCAACATTAGACTAAATATTTACACATTTTCTTCCCACGTTAATTGTCATATATTTAAAAATCCACAAACCGACTGGTGCATTTAGTCTTTTAATGTTCTACAAATGTTTAATTGGTTGTCTGTTTTTTTCTGCATATGTCTCATTGTTGACAGCTGAGAAGCCAAATTTTATATTGTTGACTTTGGACTTTATTATCAGTTTAAATGTAATGTTTTTTCCCATGTTATCTAAAATAAGAAATATGCCTTATATTTGCCATTTCTGCCAATAGAAAAGGCTCCAGCAGTTTTTCTTTTAAACTTATGTTTTAACTTTTACAAATGTTTAAATTACATAATTTTTAATTGATATGTTCCAATCGTCTTGTTTCAGTTTTGACAGCTGGGATGATATTCACTTGACATTTGGGTTTGGACTTAAACTGCAGGCTTGCACGTCTTTTATTGGGTATTTCTGATTATTCTATTTCATTCATTTTATTTGCAATTTCAGCAGTTTTTTTTTTTGTGTTGTTGTTTAAAAATCTCCCAATAGGTGCGAATTTCGTCTTTTAGCCTCCTCTGAAATGTTTTAATGGAAGCTTGTTTCATGCAGGGACTCCTACACACAATCTATAAAATGTTTCATTAAAGGGAAGCTTTGACAGCTTTATATCACTACATTTATGTTTAAGGCTTGAAATAAACATACTCATGGAGACCAAAATATCATGTTACAGGCCTGTCCTGCATTTTGGCCTCTTCTGGAACCATTTCTTGGAGATGATGTTGCAGCTTCCCATTGATGAAGCTGTACTGTGCCTTTGAATAATCTCATTTCCTATCAGCTATAGGATCAAGGTTTATAATCTCTAAACCAGTGGAAATACAGAGAGCCATTTGTTTCCATTCCAAAGCAGAACCTCTGTAGTCTTTTATCTTGACAGAAGTTATTGTCCCGTTTTTAAAGGAAACTCTACAAACGTGTGAACTTTACAGGGAAACATGTTGGGGTTATCTGATCCTCACTGGCAAGTTCTTTTTTCCCACCCACTTCAGCGTCACATGGACATTTTTTGCAGCGTGCAGGCGCCTTGACGCGAGTGACAGCGTTTGGTTACTCGTCTCCATAAGTGCGTGTCAGCCCTGATGCATATCTGTGCTGTCAGCCGGGGGAAAGGTGGATCCTCCACTACAAGCCAACACCTCTTATCCTCATCCTGTCATGCGTGTGGCAGAGCAGCTCCATCCAGCTCCATCTCTAAGACAACAACACTCCCGCCCCGCCTCGCCTCTCCGCAGATGTACTTGTGCGTCCTGAAAAACAGGCTGCGTCTGACAGAATGAATGGCTACGGGTCCCCCTACCTGTACATGGGGGCTCCGGTGTCTCAGCCCCGGGCCCCGCTCCAAAGGACCCCCAAGTGCGCGCGGTGCCGGAACCACGGCGTGCTGTCGTGGCTCAAAGGTCACAAGCGCTACTGCCGCTTCAAGGACTGCACCTGCGAGAAATGCATCCTCATCATCGAGCGGCAGCGCGTCATGGCGGCGCAGGTGGCGCTCCGCAGGCAGCAGGCCAACGAGAGTCTGGAGAGCCTCATCCCGGAGTCGCTCAGAGTGCTGCCCGGCATCGGGATAGCCGGAGCCGGGGAGGGCAACCAGGGAGCCCCGTCGAGGACAGAGGAGCTGGAGCTGAGGTGGAGCAGCACGGAGCCGGCGCAGGCCGGAGCACAAACATGCACAGGTAGGAACATAATGCAGAGAGGAGGTGCAGGATCGAGTCTGACTTTAATGTTTACATTTCTCATAAATGATTACTTTTATTTGATGCAATGAAAATGATGACGAATTATTAAATGAGGTTGATTTAGCAGAAAATACAAGTAATGACAAATTCTTTTAAACTAATAAATTCTAACAATAATATAATGAAAAGGTTCTCACGAGAATACTTTATCAATATAGCCGTTTTTCATGCACAAAGATGCAAAGGCAAATGAAAATATCTTTTAATTAAAAATATGGAACATTTACGGTAAAGAACAAAGTGATGGAAAATACATTAAGTTGCTGTCACCTGTGAACATTTTTAGTTTTTATTTCAGTTACTACACAAAAGTGACTCAAGCCCATTTTCCACTAAATGTGCGTTATTTAGGAATGACACATTTGCTTTAAAGATTCATTCAGACAATATTCTTTTTAAATCCAGATCAGATAAAGAAAATAAATATGTAGCCTATTGATTACCGGGGGAGAAATCCACGTTACAGCAGCACAACATACTGGCTTAGAAATAAGTAAACAAAGCAAAAATATCAAGTGTTTGCTGAAGTTAAAATAAATAAGCCTATTGTTTGTTTGTTCGTTTGTGGCATTTTTATTTCGAGAACTTTGATTTGAAGTAACGAACTTCGTTAATATTTATATTTGTGAATTATTAATAGGAATGAACATCTACTCGTTCTGGCAATATTTGTAATAATTGTATTTTTCGCCTGGTTATTATTGGAGTAATGAAGACACAACAAGGAGCAGTATTTTTGTCTGCATCTATTTGAAAATGACAATTATTCTTTCTCTATAGTTAGAAAAATATCAACTAGGTTATAAAAATCCGTTTATTTAGTGAACTACAAAGACATTCGGTCATTCGGAGGCTGTAAAACATTATTTTAGATTTCAAATGCAAATGAGTGTTCATTAAGCTTTTAATCCTCAATATTGCTCCCACATAATAATCAGTGAATTATTAAATATCTTTGGCAGATTTCGGCTGTTCTTTTACATTCACTGACTCCACTTGGTTGCTTGTGAGACTAAAACATTTGGACACAAGCACCGATCACCTGACTCCACATCAGCTCCATGTTGAAGCTGGCCAACAGAGCTGAGTGGTTTAAAAGATTACAGTAATCAGCGGCGGACAGGCCCCGATCGAATGTAATCGCCATATTTCCTGCAGGAGGTCAGCTCCGGATGAAATGTTACCAGCAACAGGCGATCTGTTTACAAAATGTGGTCAAAAGGCATCGACGGTAGATTCCTCACTGACACACAGTCAGCACTTTGTGTTAACAGCTTCGGAGCAGAGAGAAATAAAGCAAATCCACATAAATCGTTGAGTTGGAGACAAGCTGACAAGCGATTAATTGTATGTTTCGTTTCCTGTTGAGGAGAGCTGATAGCGCTGGATTGGCTCTGCTTTAAATGGACGAGGGGTTTATAATAAGGAGTGCACCACAGAAATGTTTCTCAAGTCAGATTAGTGTCTGCTTCATTTACTGTCCCCACAGATTCGTGCATGCCTTTCTTGCAGGGAGTGTTTGTTTTTACTGTTTCCTGCCCAAACTTGTCCCCTGACTCTTCCTTCTTCTCGCAGAGCCCACAGAGGACGGTTCTGATGAGGTGTCTGGGGGTGAAAACGGGGGCAGCTCCAGTGAGAAGGAGCAGGACCCGGTCAGCTCCCCTGAAGGCTCCAAACCAAACTCCTGCTACACCCCGGAGCCCCCAGAAACCCCCTCCCACCCGGAGGAGACCCGCTACAGCAGCATCCCTAAAGCCAGCAGCACTGAGAAGGAAGCCAAAGCCGAGAGTCCCCAGAAGTATCCCGTCAGCCCCGCGGAGCAGAGCGTGCTGATCGAGGGCCTCGCCGGCTCCATCAACCTGCCCTTCAGCCTCCGAGCCAACCGGCCGCCGCTGGACGTCCTCAAGAAGATCTTCCCCGCTCACAAGCCCCCTGTCCTGGAGCTCATCCTCAGAGGCTGCGGGGGGGACCTGGTGGGGGCCATCGAGGTGCTGCTGTCCAGCCGGGGTCCTGGACGGGAGCGCGCACCCGCACGCAGACCGCATCCGCCGGGAGATGCCCTTCAGGTATTGGTGCTGCCCTCAAATCGGACAACTCTGTTCGTACACACGCGGGCTCCCTTATCTCACCCGGTTATGTTCCCTCCTCCCCAAGTGGTCTGGTGGGCTTTTCCGCCTTCCGGGTCCCCGAAGTCCCCCTCCCGGTTCTACGTCCGACTCTCGCTTCAGGAGTAGTATCCACCGGGCACCCTGGGAGTCCCCCTGCACGCACCCGGTCATTTCCGCAGTCCACCGCGCTACCCGCTCATGCTGCGCAACTTCTCTGACGCGCAGCCAGCGTACAGCCAGCCCCCTTCAGTGCAGGCAATCGATTGGTGGAAGCTCTGTGGGAATTACCGATGGCCTGCATGCAGCATTACCAGCTCCTGCTCGGCGGCCCATGTACGTGTTCGCCTTTCTCCCCCGCCAGCCCCCGACCGGCCCCGGATGGGTCAGTGTTCCGCAGCTCTCATCCTCCCCTCCAGACCCTCCGAGGTAAGCAGCGCATAAATACAGCATTCAGGAGGATGAGTGCATAGCGCTGGGGTCCAAACCGCCTTGTATCTCCTGAATGAGGATACTAAAAACTCCACTCCTCAGACTTCCCGCATGCATAAATGTTCTCTCTATAGATATGATACTGCTGTGTCGTATGGACTAAGCGTTCGATGTTTACAGGGACACAAAAATTTAAATGTTATTGTGAATGAACGATTCCAGGTTGGTGTGTAAAGTTTTTTTTTTGGATGATTATCTGGGTGTCTTGTGGAATTGAAACTGTGTCAAGAATCACCCTCTTGAAATGTAAATCCTCTAACGCATGCTCAAGAGTCATCGTGACAAAGTACGGATGGGAAATGTAATAAGACTGTTCTGATCCATTCCTGTAAGCATTTTTATACTGTGAAAACTTCTTATGTAAGGACTCATCAATATCAATTCAAGATGGTATGCCATTAAATCTGTAGTTTTCCACAATGGATCATGATGGGTGTCTTAGTGTTATCTGACTATCGTTTCATGCGATTGTGGCATAAGGCGTCAACCATTTGTCCTGTAGATTGGTTTATTTCTTAAGTTATAAGTTTGGTTTCTTTTTGGTCGGTTTGTTTAAATATATCATCTAGCATTTCAACATCAGAGGAGTGTTTTTATTAATTTTAAAATACAGTGTGTGATTACCCAATATTATATTAAGTCTTATGTCCTTCATAAAGTAGCATCAGACGCATAAGAGACCGACACATAAAAATCATATCAAATTTAACAAACATACTACACAGCCTATAATAAAAAAAACCCGTAAATGTAAATATAATATACTTTGGAGGCCCCAAAAATTCGACAGAAAAAGTAATGCAATGATACATGTAATGATTTTAACCTGACAGTAGCCAATATATTCAGTTTAGATGACAAGCTGTTTCCACATTTTTGCACAAATAAAGGCAGCAGGTTTATGTGTTGTGGCTGCAGTTAAAGACGTCTAGCCAGCAGAGAAAAGTATTCATCATCCTTTTAAAGCAATGTAAGTGTAATTGTGTCAAAAGTTAAAAGTACTTTTAGGTTACTATTAAATGGTCCGTCTGTTCAGTGTGTTACTGAGTACATAGGATGTTTTTGGGATTCCATTTACTGCTCAATTAATGTTTTTATGTTGCATTTTACTGCTAGTAGATGTTGTAGATCCTAACAAGCTAATGTTTAATTTATATACTGATTGTGGTTAGTTTTCATCTACAGCCATGCATCATAGCTCTAATAAGATCACTCATATGTATTGTAGATGGTTTTCCCTGGTTCAGGGAAGGTTGATGAGGAGTTGTATCTGAAATGTAGTGGAGGTAGATAATGCAATGTTTGCCTCTGAGATGTAGTGGGCGAG